AGAGAGAGAGAGAGAGAGATGATGGATGGATGGATGGATGGATGGATGGATGGATGGATGGACAGAGATGTGTGTGTGTACATGAGCACAATCAGTAGCACAATGCACGCTATGTTCCAAAGATAGATGAGATAGACAGATAGATAGATAGATAGATAGATAGATAGATAGATAGATAGATAGATAGATAGATAGATAGATAGATAATATCATTCTGATGTTTTCCCAGCCTCACCTTTTTTTCCTATAAACTGGGGAGGGGGAGGGGGAATGCTGTTGTGAGCCTACATTACAAGGCTGTTACACTATGAGTAGAGATAATGCATGCAGAGCACTGGAGATACATCTTTTTCAAAATACGCAAGCTATTAGGAATGAAGAGACAGATGGTGGGAGTATTAAATAGCCCCCCCCAGCGTATATTACATTCCTCAAAGTGTTGCTCTTAAATAAAGCAAGTCCTCTCAATTTTGACTGCAAGGGGTATAAGTTACATTAGGCAGGGAAGGGAAAATAACCTGATATTTGTATTGTGTATTTCTTTATCTGTTTGGCTAATGATTTTGTGATCCATGAGCCTCTGCAAAGAGGTCAACATCTGCACGACGGCAGGTGCAGCACTGCGACAGAATCTTCTCCCCTCCCCCGTTTGTCCCTGTGTGCAATGTTGCTGCGTAAACAAAAAACCAGGATTCTGAACACAACACCGTGCTTGGCATTTTGTAAACTTCAATCTCTCCATCCCTGGACACGACTGCTTTGGGGGCATGTGTAGCAATTTCAACAATGAAAATGACCTTGACATTTTCATCCTAACAACAAGGACAAAACCAAGAACGATAGAAGAGAATATTTGTAGCTTAGGATTGAACTGTCTGGGTCCTCGGTGCTCCCTGAGCTGAATTGTTTTCCCTACAGATGTTTCATGACCCAACTAGGGAACATCATCAGTGCTAGAAGGGAGTGGGGTGTGCAGAGAGGAGGAGGAGGAGATGGAGATGATGGAGAAGGAGAAGGAGAAAGGAGAAAGAAAGAAGAAAGGGGAAAGGAGAAAAAAGAAAGGAGAAAGGGGAAGGGGGAGAAAGAGGACTGTGGGGTCCTTGGTGCTCTCTGAGCTTGGTTGTTTTCTTGCAGACATTTCATTACCCAATTAGGTNAATAAAGAACTTTTTCAAAAAAGAAATAAGAAATAATAAGCTCCCCGAAAATAAGGCCGTTTATTTCAGGGGGTCAAAAGAAAATAAGACCCTGTCTTATTTTTGGGGAAACATGGTAAATACATGACTATGGAAATGAAATTTTGGTGAACCTATTACTGGAAAAAGAAGCTAACATGTTCTTTTATCTGAGAGCCACATTCCAAGAAGTTGCAGTCATTTGCTATTAAGATTACATCCAGTTAAAGATTACACCCCGGCCCTGTGTTTAATAACTTTTCCTGTATGAATACTTTGAAATTATAATTTGATAGCTATTTTTGGAGATCTCTGGGAATTATGCCCCAAGTCTTCGGGGACTTTGATTTCTGGTGAGAATTTTCAGAAAGGATTAAAATCCCTCGGTCTCAAGTGAGGATTTTTCATAAAAAGAGAGGTTCACGTCCTTTCAAAACACGGAACCCTCTCCTAAAGGCAGATCTTAAATTAATAGTTGCTGTGCAATGCCTGTTTCAGATTTTTTTTAATGGAAAATGGGTTTTCTCTTCTCCCTTTTCGGTTTCGGTCTCCGTTTTAGAATTTTACTGCCAACGAAAAAGCCACGGTAGACCAGCATTTCAAAGAGCTGATCCGTGACATGGAGAAACAGCGGGATGAGGTCAAGGCTGGTCTGGATCACCGGGAGAAGGTGGCGGTGGAGAACATCAAGGAGATCGTGGAGGAACTGGAAGACAGAGTGAAACTGTTGCAGGAGGACAAGGAAACCAGGGAACAGATTGGCCTAATCAGCGACTCTGTGCTCTTCCTACAGGTACAGTTTTCTCGGTTGCTCGGGACAACAACGTCCATCAACAATAGCAGTAGCAGTAGCAGTAGTAGCAGTTAGACTTATATACCGCTTCATAGGGCTTTCCGCCCTCTCTAAGCGGTTTACAGAGTCAGC